AAAAAAAAAAAAAAAAAAAAAAAAAAAAAATAGCAAAAACAGCAGCAACATTGTCATTGTTATTTCCACCATTAAAAATGAGTACTCAAAAATAGACATTTGACCAACGGTCAACGACAGAAAATCAACCTGTCATTGTGGAATGACCAATCTGTCAGCAGCAACAGCTATAACGGTCATGAGGAAAACCGTCGACCATTATTCAGTTTCCGAGAGAGCAGTGCAAATAAAGATTTGAAAAAAAAAAAAGGAATTCTTTCTTTCCTTCATCTTCATCATCATCACTGTCACATCACACATTTTAAGACTGCTGCTAAACTGCACAAAAAATTGCTGAAATTGAAAAAAAAAAAATTAATATCCCTCATCATCATCATCATCATCATCAGCAGCAACGGTCAAATTCTTAGTTAACCGCTCCCCTAACCTCCCTCATCTTCCTCATTTTCTTCTGTTCTTTCTTTGTGCATATCTCAAAGCACTGTCCAAATGACAAAATCTTTGTCTTCAATAATCATCCACCATTGAACCTTTTTCAGTTCAATCACATCACAAAGAAAACGGTTCTCCAATTACAAAAAGATGAAAACCATAAAAAAGTAGATTTTGAAACAAAAACAACGGTCAAGTTTTCAATAAACAATCCATATAAATATAATACTGCAGACCAACTTTAGTCGAAATGATTTGCAACTGCTGTTTAACAGCCGAAAAAAATCTATTTGTACTGATGTTGTTCTGCTGTTATTTAACAAGATGAAGAGGTCATTTGAAGAGATGACAGGAGAAAAAAATGCTACAGAACAGTTGCCAGAAAAATAATATAAAAGAAGACAAAAAAAAAGTTACTGAAAGAAATGAAAAAAAGTCTCAATTTTTTTCGTAGGAGAAAACAGCAATACATATCTACCAAAGATCTTTGGTATATCTTAAATATGTCAGTCAAAATAACAGCTCAATTATTCTTCCCTCACTCTCCAGACTTTTTATCTGCTCTTGTTGCCTTTCTTGTTTCATTTTTTCTCATTTTTTTTTCTTTTTACAAACCAGCAACTTTACAGCAATGAAATATAAAATAATTGTAAAATGCTTAGTTTCTCAATTCCATTTTTAATAGTCCTTTTTTTTAAAACCATAATTGATGCAACATTCCACTGTTATATCCAGACGATTAAACGTCGTTCGTAACAGAAACCAAGAATTGCTAATTATGTTAAAACCGATTTCTCATTCTCAAGAAACGTAAAATAGCTACGGCAATACAAATACTTTCAAAAAAACAATCGGCAGTGAATGATTGCTAGGCCGACTCTATCTTAGACCAGACTAACCAAAGTATTACCAACAGACCACCAGAAAAGCTTGAGGCACAAAGGTATTTTTTCAAGCAAGCATTTTCAAGCAATAAACTTAAGGAAATGAGGATAACAATTATGTGGTAAGTTTGTATACAGATTAGAAAAAGTTTGTAAACCTTCACCTTCTGTACCCATAAAGTGAAAAACAATAAAGGTGCTTTTTTAAAGCATAGAGTCTGCTAGT